TATGAAGCCACGCTGCGTCGAATGTGCAACCCGTCGGCCAAGCGCGGCACCTTGGCAGTCAGCACGGAAGTGGCTGACCGATGGAAAAATACGAAGACCCGCAAGCAGCTGATTGTGGCACTGATCAACTGCAAGGGCGACAAAGCTTCTCTATTGCATGAAAGGCACGATGTGTGATCTTGTTTACCAGATCGAACTACTATTCAGCTTAGGAGTCCTTCAACCAGCGCATGGAAGTGGTGATCCGCAATGTGAAAGAAGGACGTGTGGTCATTGATAGTGGCTTCTACAGCGAGAGTGCGATGAAGACGGAACTTAAGTTTGACAAGCAGCTCAATTCAACTTATATTATGCAGTTCGGTGTCCTATCAACCCCATAAACTATTTAACCCAATGCAATCTTGGCGCCGAGGGATCGCATCAAGGCCATCATCGCCTACTGCACGAAGACCAAGGCCAGGAAGCGGCAGCTCACGAGGCCTTGACAAGCATGCTTTCGTCGAGGGGGCTTGTTCGTTATAATCAATTTATGAATTTATGATTGAGCTTGCTTTACAGGAGAGACAAGTACCAACGCCACATCCTGGAATACTGGATCGACTTGCGAACCAGTGGAAGCCTATCCCGGAGCCACCAGGAGGAGTTCACTCAGTACGTCGAAATCATCGACAACAACGCAAGCCTCCCCAATCCTGTGCTCGGCAACGAATCGTTGCCCTGCTACGACGAGGAAGATGAGGAGGAGTCCCAGGATACAGATGATGGCGACGATGAAGATGAACGAGGCAGTGTCAGCCCTAAGTTCAAGCGAAAAAAATCCAGGAGAAGCCGACCCTCTACTCCCCGAACCAACAAGAAGAAGCGAGAGGAGAAGGAGAAGCAAGCCGAAGTGGAAACGGCTTTGGATGTCTTTTGTCTACCATAGCATATTCTTTCAGTTTGAGTCCGTTATATGCAAAACCACACCCCAATCAAATCCTATATCCAGCCCTTAAACCCTAAATCCAGAATCAGCTTGTGCAGGACATCGAGAAGATTCCTCAGATTTTGGGTGAGATTCTGAAGGTGCGAATCAAAGTCGACAAGACTCTCGAAGAGCTCAAGCACAAGAAGAAGAAGGATGGAAGCGGCAAGACGTCTAGTTGCAATATAGTTTATATAATGTGTTGATTGATCCCTTTGCCTGATCTAAGGGATGGGAAATTGCTCATGGAGCAGGGCGAGCAATTGATGAAATTGCATGATGACCTTGCAGAGATCCGTGCGGAACACAGCAAGGATGATCCGAGCAAAGAGCCCCTTATCTCAGATTATGTGCTCTCCTAGGCATCTGGTTTTGTTGAGGTCTTTAGGGTTACCGGTGCTACCCAGGGCGATGGGAAAGCTGAAGCAGTCGCTGGCAATGGTGGAGAAATTGTGCCCTGCCCGCAGCCCCATGCAAGCCTCCATATATCATAATCCGGCAGCCAGCGCCAGTGCTCATCGTGATGTCATCCCCCTCGGTTTGATGAGGTCAAGTCGAATCACTATGGAAGAGAAGAAGTTGAGGAGGACACCATGAATCAACCCTAAATGTTGTATGGTTCGCTACTTCCTGCAAACCAACCTTCATAAACCCTAAAATCCCCAAAACAGGTGTTGACAATTCTTGTGAAGCCCCATAAACCTTATAAACCCAAAACCCTCAACCCTAAACCCTCAACCCTAAACCCTCAACCCTAAACTTATCTCCGAGGACAGTTCTTCGAGCGGTGCCAAAGGCCAAAGGGAAAGCGGGCGAGAGCGATCAGCCAGATGATGAAAGTGAGGCTGAGGAGGAAGAGCCGAAGAAAGCCCCCAAAGCTAAGGCTAAGGCTAAAGCGAAAGCTAAGAACGGTAGCAAGCCTAAGGGTGCGAACAAGGGGAAGTAGGCTTGCCCCACGGAGCACAACGTGTGAACTTTATAATCTATTTATGGGCCTATAGATATACACAATATCCGGGCTCCATGAACTCAGGGTTCCCTTGGATGGAACAATCCAAGATGATGGGGAAAGCACTTCTCGCTGCAAGCACAAAAAAACTTGTGCTGTAGTTGCAAGGCTTCGATCATATACGACATATGATCTAATCTGTCAGTTCCCGCGGGGCAACGCATGCGCACATCGCAGCTCAAAAGGGGAGTTGCCTACTTTGATCCCATGCACGACCTGAAGTCCGATCTGTAAGCGAACTTTGTGCTGCGCAGGTGCGGCCACTGATGTTCCTGAAGCTGCACCTCACGGTCCCGTTTCCAAAGCTTTGGCACGTGCTCGTGGAGCAGGGGTTGGGGCCGCGAATACAAGTATTTGTGAGCCTGAAGCCCATTCAATATTTTTACAAACCCCTAAATCCGATAAGCTCCAAACCTTTTTACAGAAATATTTCGGATATAAGCCCATAACCCATAATACGAAGCTCCAGCCAGCAACCAAACTTATAAAAGTTATTTCCCTGAAGGTCTCTGACCGACTCCTCTGTAGCATCGCTTCGGGCTTCTTCGAAGAATGTTCGCAAGCCGACCCAGACACGGCTGATGATCTGAAAAGTACAGTGCTTCTTCAAGATTTACATCGTGCTTCCCGGACCAAGCACGAGAGCAGCTCCTCTAAGTCGTTTGCAAAGACTGGCCTGTCATGTCCTATCGACATACAGCAGCTGGACGTTGGCAATGGCAAGATGCACCCGGTACTGCCGATCAAGCATTTTCTTAAAGCTTTAGCTGACGGAAACCAACTTTCTCGACTATGGGGCTCTACAAACAGCGGCTCATACACAGAAATTCTTCCGAGATTCTGGAGGAGATGGAAGGCTCACGACCCGCAGCACGCAGTCTTCAGTGAGCACAGGGGCCGCATGGCACAGGTTTTGCCATTGCAGCTCCACGCTGACGAGGGGCAAACGTTGAAAAAAACTGCCATCATGATATGGAACTTCCAATCCATTTTGGGCTTTGGCCTAGCATCATCGGATGATTGTGAGTCTGCAATGGCACTGAACTACACTGGAAGTTCGTATGCTACAAGATTCTTATACACAGTTTGCCACAAGAGGTTTTACAAGAAAGATAAATCTTACTTCGATGGCATCATGCAGGGACTTGCCGACGAGCTTGTGGATTTATTTTACAATGGTGTCACAGTGAATCTTGCAGGACAGCAAACAACCTTCTACGCAGCTTTGGTTGGGCTTAAAGGCGACTGGCCAATACAAGCTCGCATCGGAAACTTGACAAGACACTTCTGCCGCAAGGGGGTGTTTCAGGTTTCGGCGACGAGTGGAATCTGCCATCTTTGCCGAGCTGGAGAGCAAGGCTACAATGCCAACGATTATACAGAACAGGCTGCGTGGCGAGATACATACTTGACATGTCCACCCTGGGATTGCGAAGGTGCTTTGTGTCGCGTGCCGCAGTCGCCCGCGAAGGAGTTCATGCATAAGTTTGATACTTTTCATACACTTCATAAAGGAGTCTTCGCCGAACTTGCTGGAAGCGGCATTGCCACCTAGCTTCACAAGTTTATTTGTTGCTCCTTTGTTATGGTAATGTACTATAGATGTAAGTTGGTCATCCAACTTTCGAAATCTATGCCATCAGGTTGTCATCACCGACTATGCATTGGCAGGTCCTGGTGACATTCCGACGCAGCTTGATGCAATATATGTTTTGGCCGTGCAGCACTGCAAAGCCACGAAGACGCCTTTGCATATGGATGCGCTCACCCGGCATCTCTTGGGATTTGCAGCGGATTTCGATTATCCGGTTGGGTGCCTTTCTTCTTTGGAGCACGTTTTCGATTCTGTAGGATAGCCATATATACATATACAGTTTTCTTACCAAGGTTTGTTTGCATGGTTATATACATAGTCTAAGGAACTGGTTCAAGGGGGCCGATACGGCGGCTATGTGCTCTTTTCTTGAAGCTTTCTGGGCAAATCACCTCGCGGAAACAAGCGAATCGGATGAGTACTTGCATGGGATTCTTCGATGCTTGCGTGCTGCCAATGTTTTTATGCGGACATTGTACCGCTCGGGCTTATGGCTTTCAACAGAGCGGTGCAAGATCATCGCCGAGGCTGGTTTGGCAGTTTTGAAGTCTTATATGGAAGTATCAAGTCATGCATTGCAGCTAAAGAAGACTCGCTTCAAAGTCACGCCAAAATATCACGCGCTCATACACATCGTGGACATGCTGGTTGGTGCTTACAACTCTGGCCGCCGATGGACGCTGTCCCCGCTAAGCGAGGGGACGCAAATGGATGAGGATTTTATTGGTCGCATTGCTTCTAAGACAATGACCATTAGCACCCGGCAAGTTCACAGTCAGACACTGAAGAAATACCTCACGGCCGTGTGGACTCACTTGCCGCCGAAGTGAAAAAATGAAGGGCCCGATGCTGTTGGACATGCTTCAAATCATGGTGACTCAGAGCAGAGCTCTTCTTAAGAACAATCCTTTGGTATCAGACAACAAACCCCTAAGAAGTCCCAACAAACCCCAACCCAAAACAGGCGCTGGTTTTCAAAACCGACTCCTTTCGTTAGTGGCCTATTATTTCCGGCTACCAGGTTTTCCAGGTACATAGGAGCCCTTGGGCACTTACCAATACTACGGCTGATGATATAAATCCTGCATTGCCACGAATAAGGAAGATACCATAATTCCCA